CACAAACCTGAGACCTGTGAACTCCACCTAAATACCCCAGGCTGGAAGAGAAGAGCAGTGCCACAGATCAGCAATCACCAGTTTCACACACACTTTCCTTTCAGTGAATCAAAGCTTTTGGATAACAGCCAGGAAGACTCTTCCACCAACTACCACAAAGATCCTGTCAGTTGATACATTCTTAATCAACCAGGAAAGGCACATGCCATTAGAAAGAATCCACTGCTCACCCAGCAATCTCCTGTTGCCCTCTCATTCCCAAACTTCATTTTAAACCTAATGCCTCCTGCAAGGATATTTGTCCAAATCATTAGAAGCTTCCAAACTTTCAGTCTGAGTTTATCCATTCAAAATTTACTCTCTTCCTACTGTTTATGCACTTGATGTATTTGTAGACTTCTTTTAAATTATTTTTTATTAGAAGACTGTATATAAAACACATCCCTATACACTACAAACAAGTGAAACTTCAGAGGCTCACTACGCCAGAAATCTGGACAGGTTTGCATTTATCAATTCAAGAAGGTGAATCATAAGATGCTGAGATCTGAGGCACTAACTTTTAACCACATGACTGGATATGAAAGAACATCTTACAGATATTAGGCAAAAAAACCAATCCGCAAGACATGGAATGAAATGAGAGCCTGAAGATTTTGCTTAAGAATACTCAGTGAACAGGTCAAATGATAACTTGCCAACAAATATGCAAAATGAATCTTTAAGGTTATTGTTCTAGTGAAACATTCAGAGTCCATTCCTTACCCTGTAGATAGTCTTCCTCACTGTGGGAGACAGAACAAACCTCACTCCAGAAGCAGCTTATTTAGCAGATCTTTCGTTACATCCAGTACTCTTGAAGTGAAGTTTTTAATAGCAAACTTAACTATTGAGTAATGAACAGTTTCCTCTAGCCTACTTGTTGATCACCACAGATCCACAGGTGCAGAAATATTGCTAAGTTCAGAACCATACACCAGAGAAGCGTTTCTCCTAGCCCTTTTTAAAGGTTAACAACATTATAAAAATTAGTTAAATAAAAAGGATAAAAGCAACTTTGCTACCATCATCTCTAGTAACAGCTAATTCATGTTATTCTACCAAGTTATTGTCATCCACTTATTCTATAACTTATTCTAAAAGGCAAGCATGTTTCTCCAGTATGATTCATTGTCAATTGCATCCTCATTTCTGATACAAGAACATTATATTAACCTGGGGGATGTACTGCCATGTAGTAATAGCCAAACCCTGCTCCACTTCCTGAAAAATAATTTCAAGCTCTTTTCTTTATCTCTTGATTAAGACCTTATTCTGACAGACAAAACCACTCTCATCCCCCCTCCCCAATCTGTTTCACTGTCATTCTTTTCTTTAAATCCTTCCATTGCCTTCAATCCATGCACCACATGAGGTTCACACTTTTTGTTCTTGACCTCAAGGCAAACACACATGCTCCTAGTTATATGCTTTTGATAGCCTCTAGACCAGTCCATAAATTAAGTCAGCTTCTGCATCATCTTCGGTCACTTTTCTTTGTGAGCTTCTGCTTTTCCCATGTGTAGGCTAAACAGCTTTCTCAAGACAAAGGATCTTCATACCAAGATTCCACTATTTCTGTCAAAATGTCCAAGGGTCATGAATTGTGTTCTCCTTTAGAATAAGTGTTAGAATTTGAAGGAGCATTCCCTCATTTCCCTGTTCTACAGGCTTCTTAGCAAAACTTAAGTTTGACCAATCAACTCATTTCAATTTATTTTGAACTAGAACACTCATTTGTCTTCCATGGCAGATTTTACATAGTCCAGATAATTCCTCCCTAATATATAAACTACATTTGGATAAAAGGAGACCTCTGCAATTACTCACAATATTTCAGAAACAATATAAACTTTACTACCCCACTCAATTTTGCTTTTCATCCAGGCCACAGGAAGAAATGGGGCTTGTATAACATTTCTGAGAAGTAAGATTTTCACAGGACCGGGCTTTTAAGTAGTTTTGAAAAAGATTCAAGTACATACTAGGAAGTCAGAAGACAACAAAACATGGCATTTGTTATGTTTCCCCCCCACCTTCTTCCACCTCGTCATCTTTTGAGAGTCAGTCTGCAATTGGATGAAACCTCACTGATAACTGTTGCACCTTTTTGCTGTATATATTCCTACTTCAAGTGTTTTGGGGTTACAAAGACATGATTAAGCATGGCTGCTGCTGTTCACTGACAGGTATTTTTGGATTTTGATCCAACTCCTGTTGGACAGGCGCCTTTTACTATTGCCATACTTGCAGTAGACAGAAGCCAAGAAGCAACTGCTGTAGAAACAGATTCCTCTTCTCACATTCATATCAGGACTGGGGCATGAATACTTGGCAGGAGTAACATGTGAATGCTTACTGTAAACTGAGGAAAGCCCAGAGTCTATCATTATCATGTGTATCTCCCTGAGTCTGAATTAATTTACAGCTTAATTAACTATTTACCTTCATTTACTATAGCTCCTTTAAAACTCTAAAAACATGAGAAAGTTAAAAATAGATCTCTACCAAAATACCAGGACATCCTTAACATCTTTTTCAAGCCTTCTGAAGCAGTTAATGGAACGACTGCATGGACACTTTTTTTAGTATGAAAGCCTTTCAGGAAAACTGTCATTTGCTTATTTCAATTATTCTTCCCCTCCTCAAAAATTCTAGCTAGTCTTACATCTCAAAGCTAGGCTTTCATATTTTTAAAAAGTATTTGTTTTCACATCAGGTTGACCATGTCTCTACTTGATCCTTCAGTGACATATTAAACAGAAAGTATCAATCATTCCTGTGGCAAGTTGCTAATGTCACATTTAAGAATGTTGTGAGAAATAACACTGTCCTGTCCCCACACCCCATTACCAGACACTGAGTTTCCTCTTTCAAAAGAATTTTTGCTTCCCAACAACCTAAGAAGCATCAGTTTCCTTGACAAAAGCAGGACACCTGAAAACAGACACCTTCCAGACAAATGAAAAAATATTAGCTCCAATATGAACAGATTTTTCTCAGCCAATTATTTTCTCAGCACAATATTATGTGCATTACAGCTCAGTGGTTGCTTGTCATGGGAAGGACCTAGAACTACTCTACAAGAAGCCTGACACTTAAGACACAAATTTTTAAAAGGAAATACACGGGCCTAGAGTAATCTTAACTTCTGAAGTGACAGTAATTGATGCATTCATATCTCATATGAGGGATCATAACATCAAATTTTACTTGGGTTTAGTGCTTATAATGTCCAACAACTTACTGTGCTGGATTACTGAAGTATTCTGTGATTATTATTCTCCAAAGAAATCAGCCTTTAAACAGGTAAATTAGTGAGGTACAAAATGCAATGCAGAGATTAACATCTGAAAGTCTTACAAAATAATGAGTAAGCTTTGTCACCTTTCAGGCAAAATTATTTCTATTTTAAAGAAATTCTGGAATATAAAATACATTCTCTTAAAACAGTAAGGAATGCATTCCCCTATCACTTTGTATGCTGTACTTTTCTCATACTCTAAGACACATTTGGAAAAGGGACTGTTTTCTTTGTACTCTCAACTAAGACACTCACACACAAGATGGTTACCAGTTTTTACTAACTGTTGTTTATACAAACATAGCCAAACACTACAAGTACTCCTTTAATCACCAGCCTACATTCTATCTACTAAGATCACTAACTAAAATATGAATTGCAATTTAGTTAGTGAACCAGAAAAAAATTCTCATTTATCTAAATACAGACCCAACTTGATTCTTACTGATGTAAGGGTTGAGCTTTTACACTAACCCCAAAGAATCAAATAAAGCTTATATTTGGAAAAGAAAATTAATCATTGCTGTTCACGTGATAGTTGTCTCCTATAAAGATATGGATACTACAGTCACATCTAGAAGTACATTTTTATCATAGAGGGCTTTTGAGCTACTAAGATTTAGCTTTTTGCTGCCTTTACACTGTAAAACCAGTTCACTTTGAGACCAAGACAATGGATAAAACCTGTTTTTCAAGTTTCTAAAAATTCCCTCCATATAGTGAGGTACACAGAGAACATCACACACGATAAAACTTTTTATCACAACTACTACACTAAAGCAACCAAGTTACACATGGTCAGCATTTATTTCTAAAAAAATTTGGTTGAATTAGGTACCTCACTTTCAGGCACCAGAAAAATTCTAGTCCAGGTTCCCAACTGCTATATTTAACAGAAAGTGTATAACAAGTGTCCTTAGCTTGAAACACTATACAATAAAAAAAGTACAGTTTCAGTAATCCAGCAGCAAATATTCATTGTAACTTTAACAATAAATGGTATCGGCAGACTTTAGGCACAGTTGGGAAAGTCTTTTGGCAAATGGACATGCGCTTCCCCTATTCATCAGGGATCCATTTCTATTCTACCAAAGCCACCTTTAGCTACATACAGCTATGCTCTTTCTAAGGTCATGTTCCTTCTGAACTTCCACAAAGTAAGCGTGGAATAGCTACACACAAAACAACAGAAATTCCCTTCAGTTTTAGGAATCACAAAGCAAGTATTGCTGCTAGACATCTTTATTTTCCTTTAACAAAATACACAAAGGCACAAAATTCACTTATATCTTGTCATTATTGTACAGGTATAAATAGTGCTTTGTATTCAAGTACAATCAAGTGCAGAGACTTTCTATTTTTTATGTAAACACAAAACAGTTTTGTATGTACATGCCTCTGGTTCATCTGCAATGCAAATACCAAAGGAGACGCCATTTATCTGAGTGCCATTTAACTGAATTCTGTCAAAAAAGTTAGACAATGAATAACATTAACACCACTGTAATGACACTTTCCATATGCTTAAGTCAAATGTCAGATGACACTTTAGCTTGTAAACACCTGTGTATTTAAAATGTACCCAATTCATTTTAACAGGGAAGCATTAAAAAGTATCTTAAGTTCACTAGACCAAACTTACTAGGTCAGTTGCTGCCAGTAATTGCTCTTTGTATGTGACAGCTGAAGAGATGTCAAATTATAGGTCACCCTTAGCAAAGTTTATACTTTTAAGTTTTCAAATATGCAAACTGAACAATGGCTACAACTGTTAGACTTCAACCAACTATACATTCTCTGTGTTAACTTATTTAAAGACACATGCTTAATTTACAATACCCACTTTTACACATAGCTTTGACATACTGCAGCATTTGAGGCAGTTTAAGCTCAAGCAAGATTTTTAAGTTGTACCATTAAAAAAAGCTCACCTGAATAGTAACAACAGCTAAAAACTAGCTACAGAAGGCACTTGAAGTACTTTATTCTGCTTTCATTACAGATTCTTCACTTTGTTCAGCTGAAATAGACTCTGAAATAGAGTCTTCAGTTGTTGAAATGTTTTCTGTTTCTTCTTTTTCAACTTCTTCAGCTAACTTATCATTTAGCTGCTCAGGACTCAGTGCTTTATCATGTGCCTCATTTGTCTCCATGACCTGGGCCGTGTCTTCTTCAGATTCTGTGAAAAGAAAAATTATGAAATAAACATTTCTAGAAATGAAGAGGTAGCTAATGTTCTTAAAAAGCAAATGAAACAGCATTTTGCAATCATAAAGAGGTTTTGACTAGTCATTGCATGAAGTTCTCAACTGCCAAAAACTATTTTTCTAACAAGACTCATAGGTAAAATCTGTAAAATTAAAAAAAAACCAGAAAATACCATGGAAAAGAGTTCAGACCCCCCACTATGAATATATAACATGTTATTTGTATATATTCACTCTGAAGATAATCTTCCTAAGCTTGTTCATTAATGTGAGACAGTGTCAGAAATAAGATGATGGGAATTTGGGTTCTTTGTGCTTCGTAATAGAAGTTTTACCAACTTTTTCTGTAAGAGTTCAATCTGTACACAGACCCTAACTCTAATTCTATTTGGTGGAAACAGCTTTAAACTTAAGGAGCCAGGTAACTAAATTATTCTACTTTTTTTTTTCTGGTTAAACTCTCAAAACAGCCAATGAAAATTACTGTGTATTTTCAATCTTCCCACAGGAAGTGTAAGGATACACAGTAGTATCTTTACTCTCAATCTGGGATGGGAGTTTCTTTGGTAACAGGCATATTGTGAAGATCAAAAATATTTATCCTGAGTACCACTTCTAAAGAAGTGAATTCTAGCTTCACAAAAGTATTCCAGTAGCATATGAGAAAGAGACATTTTGAATTAAGCATGAGCACTGAAACCAAACATAGTGTTGCACTAGATGCCACAAAGGTACTGCAGAATGATACTATTGATGGGAGTTTATTTATTGACTAGTCAATACTAGACAGCATTAATGCATACTGTGAAGGCAAACAGTTTGCAAAAGCTGATGCAAAGTTACAGCTCAAAAGCACTAACCTTATCAAATGTTTGTAGCTTCGTATTTATCAAAACATGTTGGGTGTCTAATTGAACTGCTTCAGGCTGATATTCACAGAATTCACAAGCAAGGTTGACAGTTTTAGAACCATTGCTCTGGCTTCTTGGGTCACAACTGACAAGAGCAGCTGCTGCACACCCTTGTCCAGCAGATCTGGTACAACTGCCGTCTCACCAAGAACAGGAAACCCCTCTTCCCACACACAGATCCACATTCAATACCTTCTTCCTTATCTGGCTAGTTCCAGGCTCCACTTCAGATTGCTCAGTGCAACCAAGCTTCTCCATTTCTTCCTCTGACTTGATCTTCCATCTTAACAAGTTTGCAGCCAACTTGCCTCCTGATTCAGCTTCCTTCCCTGCTTTCTAAATCACAGGGTCCTCAACATCTGCCCTGGTTTCTTGTTCCAAAATTTCTCTGGACCCATCTGTCAGACAGTCAATCCTCCTATTTCTGCCCAAGCAAATTAATGTTCCTAGTTTCTTTCCAGACTATCCCTGCTCTTCAATTTCCTTCTTGATCCCACCCTAGCCTGCACTCAATCTTTATCTCCCAACTGTCAGTTTTCTTTGTCTCATCTCTGCATTTTTCTTCAGCCTCAAATTCTATGAATAAGTTTGTGCCTTTTCCTGCTACACGCCCTCCACACTTCACTTACTTACTTTGACTCAGGCCTGAACATCAGCAGTAAAGAAGAAATGTATAGGATGTGAGGAAGAGACAACTCCATGCCCTCTCAACTTCGTAGCATAGCCCAATCATTACTTGTTTACAGAGTTTCCTCAACTGAATGATGCTTAGCACTCTGCAGAATTGACTCGTTCTTAGTCTGATCAAGGTAGAGACTATTCATTCAGCCTGATCAGGAGGATGCTGAGCATCTACAACATGTTTGAAGACAGCCCCAGTGACAATCAGCAACTGGTAGAAGCAAGCAGAAGGTTCTAATAAAAGGAGAAAACTTGACCGAGTACACAGTCGGTCTATCTATATTCAAAGGAACACAAGAAGGATGCTGCTTTCATTTTTATATTCCACTAAAAGTTATGGAGACACTGCTCCTCTAAGAAAAAAAATCATCAGGTATATGACTTTCCCCTTCCCTTGCTCTTGATTAAACTTAGTGAAACTCTTGAAACTCTCCAGAACATACATTTAAAACAAACCAACTGCCATGGAAAATTTTGGTCTAATAATTAAGTCTGACAAAGTTATAAGGAACTAAAGAATAGGTCCTTTAAATCAGAAGTTTAAATCAGAAGTCAGGGCAATCATAGTAAGTGGTGCTAACTCCAACTATAAACATGACCAATCTTCATTAAACATATACAGTGATTCCATTTTAAATAGACCAATTAATTGAAAGTTTGCCTAAAGTCAACTTGATTTCAATACTGCATGATTTAAGTTATTGGAAAAGCAGTAGCTAAGAAGAGAAAGGTCTGACCGTAAACTTAAAGATAACAAAATTAGTGTCCTTGATGATTAATACTTAATCTATGATTTAACTGAAGAACATAGCTACACAAAGAAGATTCTCAACAGCAAACAGCTCTATGCTGGCCCAAGCCAAATTTGAGAGCTGTATAAATGAAACTTTAAAAAAACCTGCTCCTCCTACAAGCGGTTCTTTTTCCCCCAACACTTGTGCTTCATGCTTAGTGCTTAGAAAGTATATGTACTTCACAATGGAAGTAGTCAGCTACCCATCCTCTTGTTGCAGAGAATATTTCAACGCATAACCAGTGAAATCACAATACTGCATAACTATTAAGTAGAAGATGTACAACTGTTATGCAGGAATTCACAAAAAGTGGTATAAAGCAATTACACTATAACTACTTTACTTTTACTTAGTGTAGAAAAAACACAACCTTAGCATCATTAAAGTCTGAAGGGCATTACACTTCCACACCATTTTCAAGACCTTTGGGACAAGCTTTCTTCACTACTGCAGCTCCCCATTAGGACAGACCTTCACGCAGTGCGATGTGTCTGAAGTATCTTTAAGGAATATGTGCTTCACAGTAGTTGTGTTCATGGCTTTGATATCACAGAAAGCTATTCTGAAGCCTTTGAAAGAGGCCAAATAATGGCATAGCATTTGATTCTCTGTACCCTTTATGTTCTACCAAAAAGGCAAGCTAGGTCGTTCAGCAGCATTCAACTGTGGTAGGCTAGAAACATAATACATTTCTAAACCAAAAGAACTTGTTTACAAGTCATTAAACTCAAGGTGAGATGACCCATATGTGCTTGAGAAATCACTGAATTCTAGACATATTAGCTGAACTACGGAAAGAGCACAGCACGCAGAAACTCGCATCTTTGAAAAGAAACAATGGCTTACAAAAAAATATAGCGGGTTCATGCTGTCCTATGAAAGCAAAGCATATTTGGTAAAAAGGCAAGCCAAATCTCAAACAGAAAATGCCTCCAGTCCAGTCTGGTTTAAAAAAAAAACCAACCAAAACCAAACCACACACACAAACCAAACAAAACCCACCCCCCTAAACTCAGACCATTCTGACCAGAACAGATACTCATGCTTATTTTTGTTCTCAAACAGTTTTATTCCTAGATAAAGTTTCTGCTCCACTATAACAATTGCCCAAAGTCAAGCTCTACTTTTGGAAGAACTTATAAATAAGCATGCACTTGAAGCAGTATTATTCCTGGAGGACAGCATCACTATGAATCCTTCTGTTGGACAAACCAAGTTTCTGCATCAGCCCTTTAAATGGAATTTCTTTCCATTATACTAGCAGTTGCTATATTCCAGCAATCCTTAAGAGTGACAGAGCATTAAATCATCATAAAATATTTTGTCAAGATAGTCAAGGAATTCCATAAAAATCTGGAGATAACACCAGAAGCTGTCTCCATGAAGTGGTGACCACAGTGGTGAAATCTGAAGTTCAAAGGCATCTAATGAACACCTCTGAACATCAGCACCAGATATTCACCACAAAACACTGAAGCAGTCACATTTTGTTTCAACCTTCAAAATGCTGGTAAATGCTAAACCCGAATCAAGAATGCAGTGTAACAGTACCAAATATAGGCAAGGCAAAATTAATCAAGAGGATAAAAGTGGTTCCTGCTGGCATTTTCAATATGCTTCAAACATACTTCTAAGAGAAGTACCTAAGAGAACAGACTAGCCTTTAATTAAAAGAATTCAAGATCAAGCCATTTAAGAAAAAGGTAAGAAAAGAACTGAAGTACGTTGCTTCATTTCCCAAGTTACTCTGCTGAACAGGGAAGCATGTTGTTTGTGCCAGTAATCTGCATGAGATTGACAGCTGATGACTCCATATTTCCAGAAGATTAAAAAAAAATTCAAGGTTCAGTGCCAACAGCACTCCCCATAACCATCCTTCAGATCTCTTATCCACAGGAATTGCATGTAACACACTCATCACTGCATGAGCACACAACTGAACAGAGCTTCAGCTTCATGCTCTACTCATTAGTAAAAGTAGCTGACTTGTAAAAAAATATTTATAGCACTTCTGTATCACATTAGCTTGCAGTTTCTTTCAGCTATACAGCTATGGTTTAAATGAGTTACAGATAAGAGATGGATCTCCCTCTGTTGTCAACATTGTGGTGAAGTTGGTTTCCTTATATTAGTGGTTGTTTACATCTGTAAGTGAAGATATTCTCTATTCTTGCTATGACAGCAGCTGTAGTGAACAAAAGCCTTCCCCAGAGCTATACCTCAATGATAGCTTCATACCTTAAACTTACAATCAAGGAATATGTTCATTAGTAAAGCCTGACTGCCTGTAAGCAGTTAAGTTTCAAATTAGGGTTCTGAGGGAAAAAGTGATTTACTGAAAATAGTATTTTCTCATTCATAAGAGATTACTGTGTGGCACGTTGCAGGCAGTGACAAACTGATAGGATAGCACTGGCCTCTTCTATATCAACAAGGCATTTCTCAGATATTAGTTATGTAAAATATTAACACCTACTCTATTTCTGGTTGCTTAGTAATTATCAAAACAGAATGGTTTAGATGATCTTGGAGGTGAAATATTCAGAAGAGATCAGATATTGAAGCTAGATAAATCCCAAAGTCAGTATACCAGTTACTTATTTCTTAGGCCTCTTCTGAAAAATTTCACCATACACTTCCCAGCAGAAAGAGAGAACTGGGGAACGAACCCCACAGTGGTTTCCTTTGGTGTTTTTAAATAAAGCAACACATTAATATAAGACCACATCAACAAAAAACAAGTAATTTTCAGTGTTAAAGGTAAACTGGTAAAATCATATTTACTGCAATAAAACCATGTTATATTTTATCCTGAAACACTTGATAAAATTCTGCTTTCAAAAAAAGAAAATTTTTAACAGACTTTTCACTCCCTACATCTCAAGTGCCTAACAAAAATCTCACACTAATTCTTAAGGTTTTACATATTTTTTACAACATCTATAAACTGACTCAGTAGCTCAGACCCATTAAAGGCACAGTTTGGTAAACAATTCCTTCAGTGATAATATCAGCTTAAGTAGCACCCCTCTCTCCCAAAACCTCTAAGAACCTGCAGTTACAGATAATACTCAGAAGCCCAAGACACACACCTCCAAGAGCTGAATACCCACTTTTAAGGGCTTCCCCATTTGATTCACACAGAGAAAAATCAGCAGAGTTCTGAAGAGCCCAGCAACATTGTCACTTCTCTAAGAATCTTCCAGCTGTAAAAGTAGCCAAGAAGCTACCAACCTACCCTCCACACACCAAAAAGATGACTTGATCGTTTGAGGGCAAAGATGACATCTGCATCATCTTAGCTCCATGCATTTGATTTCAGTCTTTCTTTCATGCTAGTAATAGTACTTTCAGTGAAGTAAGAGTGCACTATGGCACAGGAAAAGAAACCAGCCAAGTTTTCCCTATAATGTGTCCGCATCAGACCACACTTGCAGACGGCTACAGTAAGATATGACTTCCCTACCAGTCTCATGCAGCCTTCTCATGCCAGGCATGTACCCCCTGTTAAAGATAATCAAACAGAAACATTCTTTCTGTTACACACTGACAGTTTCCCACAGTTGGTGTGTTTCTAGCCTGAATCTTGGGGCAGTACACTATTCAATAGCTTGCCCCCATGATCCCCGTTTAAACTAATGTAAAATCCCATCAAGTACTCAATAGCACATCTAAGTGGAGATTCTCTGGTTTGAAATTATAATTTCTGGAGTTTTTTTGAAGCACTGCATCTTCCTGTTGGCTGTACACCAGATGCCTACTGTATCTGCAGACTATAAAACGTCTCAAAAGGAACTACGTTAAATTAAAATTGACAATTTGTCTTTGAACTCCCTGAGTTTAAACAAGGCAGTTTTACTAGATTTTCCTGCCCTGAGGAAAACAGCAAAAGGAACAAAGGCAGAAATTCCAACACACCTCAATCAAATGACCTGCTGAA